AGTGTCGCTGGCAAAAGGGGAGACACGGGCAAATTCAGGACAAACCTCTAGTACATGGTCGCGAAAGCAATGCCCTGCGCCCAGTAGCAGCATGGTTTGCTCTTTTAGCTCCAGGCTGGAGAGTTGCTCGCGTTTTGCCAAGGGGTGGTGCACGGGCACCGCTGCCCAAAATGGCTCATCGTACAGCGGAGCAATAGCCAAACCGGTATCAGGGAAAGGCTCAGCCAAAATGGCGCAGTCTATCTCACCGCTGCGTAGCATCTCCAGCAGGCGTACGGTAAAATTCTCTTGCAGCATGAGCGGCATTTGAGGGGTTTTTTGGATGATTTGGCGTACCAAATCAGGCAATAAATACGGACCTATAGTGTAGATAACACCGAGTTTTAACGCGCCTTGCAGCGGGTCTTTACCGCTCTTCACAATTTCTTTAATGCGCTCGGCTTGCTCCAACACCACTTGTGCCTGACGCAAGACCTCTAGCCCCAACGGTGTAGCGTTTACCTCTCCCGCGCTGCGTTCAAACAGCTTGGTGTCCAACTCCTCCTCCAGCTTTTTGATTGCCAGCGACAGCGTAGGCTGCGACACATGGCAAGCCTCAGCGGCACGCCCAAAGTGCTTCTCGCGTGCCAAGGCGACGATGTATTTCAGCTCGGTCAAGGTCATGGGCGTTCAATGTGCTAGCGTTATTGGAGGTTAAAAGCTTGAATGCAGGCGCAGCTTTTGCGCCAGTGCAACATATTCTGCCACAGGCACTTCTTCAGCGCGGCGTTGCACATCAAAATTTTCCTCAAAACCTTGTGCCTCCAGCCATTTACCCAAGGTGTTGCGCAGTATTTTACGCCGCTGGCTAAAGGCGATTTTTACCACTTCTTGCAACACGGCAGGCTCCACCGCTGCGGGTTGCGCGTGAGGCAGCATACGCACAAAGGCAGACTGTACGCGCGGGGCGGGGCTAAATGCCTCTGGCGGTATGCTAAAAAGCATTTCCATCGCATACCGCCATTGCAGCATGACGCTTAGCCTGCCATAGGCCGCCGTGCAAGGTGTTGCCACCATGCGCTCTACCACCTCTTTTTGCAGCATAAAGTGCTGGTCATCTATATGCGCGGCATAGGGCAATAAGTGGAACAGGATGGGGCTGGATATGTTATAAGGCAAATTACCCACTATGCGTAGATGTGCATTGCGTAGGGGCACATCATTTTTCTGATCTTTTGTTTGACTTATTGCAAGCTCTTTTGTCAAAGCTGCAAAATCTACCGTTAGCACATCGGCTTGTATAACGTCCAGTTTTGGGGTTTTTTGTAAACGCACCGCCAAGTCACGGTCTAACTCTATCACGGTTAAACGCTCCAAATGCGCCAGCAGGGGCTGCGTTAATGCCCCCAAGCCTGGGCCTATTTCTACCATATGCTGTGCAGGGGCGGGGGCGATAGCTTGCACCAAAGCATCGATTACTGCGCTATCAGTCAAAAAATTTTGCCCAAAGCGTTTGCGTGCTTTATGCGGCGTGCTCATGGTACAGCACACTCATTGCAGCGGCGGTTCGCGGTATTCAATATAGGCTTTTTCTCGTAGTTCTTTTATCCATTTGCCTACCGCCTCATCCTGTTTTTCCGCCATCAGCGATTGTCTTGCCATCTGGCGTAAAGCTTGTGCACTTACAGGCTGTTCACGTCGCTCTATCACTTCTATTAAATGCACTCCAAAGCGCGACTTTACCGGTGCAGAAATTTTCCCTGGAGGTAACTGGTTCATCGCCTCTTCAAATTCAGGTACAAACTGCCCTTGCTCTGCCCAGCCCAAATCTCCCCCTTGGGCCGCGCTACCATCTTGGGAGTTGTTTTTCGCCGCCTGTGCAAAAGATATTTTTTTGCTCTCTATCTGTTTTTTGATGCTACTTAGTTTTTGCACGGCCTGTTGCTCACTTAGGCCTTTTCCAGACTTCAGCAAAATGTGTCTGGCATGGGTC